TGCTCTTTGGAATTAATCCGAACGGCACAGAGCGCATTTGATCGCTTGTAACGTTGGCGTATGACCTCCGGAAAAGGCGAGTAGCTCTCAAGTGAGCGCTGGAAATTTCATTGCGCCGGAACTTGTAAACTCCTTCAAAGCGCGTGCCCCATATATTTTTCGTAATTTTCATCCGGCTCAGTCTGAGTAGTTAAATTTTTCCAGTCGCGTAGTGATAATATCAGACGGCTTCAAGAAGGGATCTGTTTAGTCGCGGGTCTCATGGAAGAGCCGATCTCTCTTGTACAGTAATTCGTTTTGCCGGTCCCTTTTTTGTCTTTGACTAGCGACGCTACGTGTCGCTACGTGCATACATAGATTAAGAGATCAGATGCTAGAAAGGGATGCAACGTTGAGTGAACATTCATGAACAAAATCGTACAAAAATTTCGTTAAGCAGGCCAGAAAAACCCGAGGCTGGAATTTAAAGCAGGGTTGCCGGCGGTCTAGAAAACCGGGAAAATCAGGGAAAGTCAGGGAATTTTTGGGAAAAGTAAGGGAATTTTTGGGCCTTTCTGGTCAATTTAAAGCTTGTCACCTTTTAACCAGCTACTGAATGCCTTTTCTCCAAATTCTCCCTCATAAATCGCATGTTTCCGAGGAGAATTTTTTGCATTTCCGACTGAAAATTTCACCAATTTTCCTTTCGATTTCGAGCAAAATCGGAAAAATTTTCGAACGAAATTGCACAGGTATATTCTTGGAAAAAGTAATTTGTTTGAGTCAATTTTGCAACATTCGATTGGAGTTACGTTGCTTCGTCCGGGAAACTACGATGCGTGTCATCAGAGATGAAAATGTATTCGAATGGGGAAATTTGGCAACGTACAAATATTCATCTGCTGTTTTTCTTGTATCGCTGCAGAATAGGATAAAACAAGTAGTCAAATTCGGTCTGTGTGTCTGGGGAACCCAACTTTTTTTCCGCTCTCCAAAGGGATGGGGAGTGTAGAGAGGAATATGAAAACCGGGAGGACGCGCAAAGCTGGCAGCGAAAGATGCTCGGGTCGTTGTCGTCGTTCCTCTGACGTAAGGGCGTATCTCTATTTCTAAATGAGCCCTGGAAAGCATAGCGTCATATGGACAACAGGGCTCAAGTGGAAATGGAGATACGCCCTTGTGTCAGAGGAACGACGTTGTGTTACATCGAAGCCTTTGATGATAGTATAGAGCCTGCACGGTGCTAAATAAAATTCTTCTCTCCGGGCCAAGTGCTTGTAAAACCACACATCAATAGGACGTATTTCTATCAAACGGAACTACGTGCATTATGACGTGAGCCCTGTTATGTACATATGCTTATGGGTCTCAGGGCTCATGTCTTAATGCACATTGATCCGTTTGACAGAAATACGTCCAATACGCTACTCTGCCGTGCTAAGTAAAAACGCCGCATAAGCATTCGAATGATGCTGAATTTCCTCTCGGAAAATATTTGTTTTTCAATCAAAGTATTAATATTTTTCCTTGAATTTTTCAAACCCCAGAGACGAAATGGACGTATTTATGCTAAAAGGGACTGTGTGGAAGCGGAAAGATGGGGTGTGCTCGTGGAAGCCGCGGAAGAAACAATGTAGGAGTTGATATAGTTCCTTTTGAGAAAATGGAAAAGCGGGATTTGACATTAAATCAAAAGGAACTGAGCGCTAACTCGTGAGCCGTGGGCATGTAACAAGAGCGTCGTGCACAGGGTTCATGAGTTAAAGAGTCCCGTCACCGATCTCCCCGTCGTGCCTCCTCGTTCGTTGCCGCTGACGTCACTGGCGCTTTTAAACCCCCATTCATTCTTATGGCCAGAGCACTAACGAGCACACCCCATCTTTCCACTTCCTCATAATTCCTTTTTGCATAAATACGACCAAATTACGAACGGAATCCTTTGAAAAATCGAAAGAAGAAATATTCACAAATTTTCCTGAAAATTTGTGATTTGTTGAAGGAAGTTTGGCAACGCCTAATGGCTTGACCGGCCTTCTTTCATAGTATACGGCAGCTCTGTAGACCTTTGAAGTGAAGAAGGAAGCTTGTGGTGAATGAAAGTAACGGCCCTTTTTCAGTGGTGTTTAGCCAGAATGAAAGTTTTGTAAGGGAGCGAGAGGCAGCTGCAATTTTAAATGAAAGTATTTTTCGAACCTCAGCCAAAGCTGAGACCAATTCTTTTTTTTATTTTATTTTTTAAAATTATAGTTTTTTAAAATGTCTAATAAAATAACGATGAACAAATTTTAGATGCAGCCTGTATCCAATCGATATTGGAAAAATGTTAAGATATGTTCAGTGTGAGGCTAGTTATTTGTAAGTTTGAACATTAATCCTGTATATATTTCATTAATTTTGGAAATAATCTACGCCAAATTCCATGATTTCTCATCTCGCGAAATTTTGCCACCTTGAATGATCGCTCATTGAAGTGTTAAGTGTCGTTAATTTGACTTACATGGAGTTCAATTTTTTTCTGTATGTCGGATGATTCAATGGGCTGATTCTCGTGTTAAGTAATGGACTTACGCCTCTTTATCCCGAAAATTTCAAATGATACTTAATTGAACTTGAAGCGACTTGTCGCCAACTCATTTTCGCTAAAATCATAAGTTAGGCGGTATAGTTCCTTAGCCCTCGACACGTGCGATCAGTATACCCACGCAGTTAGATACTTTTATGGATAAGTCAGAAATATCGGCTCCTCAGTGCTAAATTAAAATCCAATATGTCAGTTGCGCTGGTCACAAAACAGTGGTTTGATGTTTGATTCTTGTGGATCAGCTAAAAATAATAAGATCCTATCAAACAGCAACTCCTTACGTTCAAATCAACCGAGATATCGCGCTTTGAAAAATTCGTTTAAAGACGTCATCCACCGCGCTAGCGACATTCTTGGTTTTTTCCACCTTTTCTTTCATTTGTCAGGGAGAGACGCCTTTCAACGGGTTACTCAACGTACAACTCGGATGAAAACAAGGTGGAAGAAACCAACGGTGTCACTACCGCGGTTGATGACGTCATAAACCGAATTTTTCAAAGCGCGATATTTCGATCAATATTGAAAATTGCTGTCTTATTCTTTTCGGCTGATTTACAAGAATCAAGTATGAAAACACGATTCTGAGACCAGCGCAACTGATCAATTCGTTACGAAGAACTCAATTTTTTAAAAAATACACGATTCACTAGAATCAAGACAAAGTTGTAAAATTGCGAACCGTCGAGCGATTGCGAAAAATGTCAATGTTTACTTTCATGTTATTCCCTTATGTAAATGCACAACTTGGAATTAGATTTCGGTGCAGGCTCGTGATAATTTTGACGCTAAGAATATCCTCCAGGGTTGCCACAGTCAGGGAATTTTGAAAAGCCAGGGATAGTCTAGAAATGTCAGGGAAAAATCGTCAAGTCACCTTTGTTTGCTTTCTTGAGTGGGTCTGACATTTCAAACAAAAAATTTTGCCTGAAAATTATATCTAGCGACCTATGTCTCTTTAAGAAGCTGGCATTTGTTCATTTTCAGGGAATTTTAGCGAAATGTGTGAGGGAAATGTGAGGGGATTTCATTTCCCAAATTCTGTGGCAACCCTGAAGTCCTCTCTCCTTTTTTTCCTCGGCGATGAAGTTGGAAGTATAGCTAAACTGTCGAGGATTCTCTAGAGCTTTGCCGAGGAAAATGACATTTTTCTTTTGGTTCGGTGGCAAGTAATTGAAGGCTATTCCGTGCATCACTTGATTCGCGCACGCGAAACCCAAGTGCAGAGCCCTTTGGCTCGGTTCTTGACAAAACCAATTTGCAAAATACATGTATCTCCTCCTGCACGTTCCAGCACCATGTCATCCAACGGATGTTTCATTTAAATGCTCTGCTTATTGCAGAATCCGCATGTAGCGGCAGGAACAAACTGAGCACAACACAATATAACATAACACTTAACGCAGCTCACTTTTAAGGAGGCAAGTTGCAGAATATGATATAATTTTCATCAATATATTAACCTCACTTTACTGTCCTAGTTTCACAAGGGCACCTAGGAAATTATACACGTGTATTTAGGCTTGTCATGTTATGATTTTCCTGTCACATTGCATTTTGTCCAAAGGCAAATTATCATTGTTCTTGTCCCAAATTTCGTGCGATTCACCAGGATTGTTCTTTGAAAATTTCGCTCTGAAAAGTCAAAATTAATTCTCCGAAAGGAAAAAACCCAAAAAATTCAAACAAAGGATGATTTATTAAAGTAGATTAAAGGGAACTCTTCATATCATGCTCAGATACCTAATTTATTTCGCTTTCGAGGGTCAGGTGCCATCAACATTGTAAAACATTCAATAATGCATTTCTCGAAAATTTGACAGTATTGCGACAAAAATCGAGTACGGCATTCCTCACCGGCACAATAGGCAACGCTTGAACCAAGTTAAGGTATTCGAGAAACAATCAAAGCTCTAGTTAGTGTCGCACGCGACGGATACTGAACGAATTTCAATTTAACGCGTGGATGCAACTATTCGAGCTCCAAGGATGTCCGTATTGCATACGCACGGAACCGAAGGCGTTTTGACTTCTGGCACTATCAGCGGCGCTCTGTGGAGCGAGTCGATGAGAAGAGTCCGACAAAATGTGAAAACACTAAAGGCTTATGTCGATGTTAATGTATGGAGCCTAGAGGTTTTAGAAGTGGTTTCGTTTGTTTTCTCGTAAAATCAATGAAACGTGTTTGAGAATTAGTTTATCGTAAGTCCTGCACGTTTATTTTCACGGAGAAACAGGTACACATCATGGGAAAATCATGAATTTTTTAATTTATTTCAGTGAGTGTGCAAGCCCTACCTTAATTTATTGCATGTAAAATAATTTCGTGATCATACTCATCGCTGTTAATTGTTAAGACATCTGTTTCAGTAAGGTGTACGCAGACTAGATCTTTGAATTATAATGCATAATCATTAAAACTGTGTTGATTTTCTGTTTTCAGGATGAGACGAAACCAAACCCTCTCAGCAGCAACAGCGAGAAGAAGAAATGGATCCATGATCCAGACAGTAAGTCCTTGTGCTGATTTTTTTTCTAGTTGTGCGTTTTTGAAATTAGGAAAACGGCTTAGAAAACAAGAGTTTGTGACGTTGAAAAAGAAACAAGCCGCAAATCTACGAACAACACATGGTGTTGGACGAGTGCGTCGTAAGAATGTATTTAAATTATCAAACCAAGCCTTTGCCGCATAAAAAAAAAAATTGACTCAATATGAATCGCACTCGTAACCAGGTCTTCTCGTAAAAGCATTATTTGTAGGAGGACAATGTGAAATTAGGAATGCAGGGCTCCAGGCGGTCTGGAAGTCCGTGAAAATTCAGGGAAAGTTAGAGAATTTGTGGGAAAAGTCAGGGAATTTCTGACACATCTTCCAAATATTAAAACATAGCGCAGATCTTCCAACGGTTAACCCTTACTTGTCATTTTAAAGGCTTGTAATCTTTTAACCAGCTACGGACAGCCTTTTTCCATGACTTGGATTGCATTTTGCAAAAAGAAACCAGGAGCATTCCAGTGTCTTAAGACTGTGCAACTTTCTTCACCCTGCAAATATAAACTTATCATCGATACAAGTTTTATCTTTACTCTCAAGAAATTATGAATTCAAGACGAAAATCACCTTTGTAAATCTGATTTGTTTCATTATTTTAGTCATTTTTTTGCAAAGCATGTATGTTACACAATCCCAGTAACATTGGAACGCTCTTGGTTCCTTTTTGCAAAATGCAATCCACTTAATCTCTAAACAAGGAAAGTTTGTCCATAGTCTAGGGGAAGTTAGCATGTTAAAAAAAGAAAGTGAAAATTTTGTTCGAAGGTGAGTGAAAGTCAGGGAATTAGAAAATTTTTGAGTCCGGGGAAAGCGAAAATAATCAGGGATTGTCAGATTGTTTCATTATTTTAGTCATTTTTTTGCAAAGCATGTATGTTACACAATCCCAGTAACATTGGAATGCTCTTGGTTCCTTTTTGCAAAATGCAATCCACTTAATCTCTAAACAATGAAAGTTTGTCCATAGTCCAGCGAAAGTTAGCATGTTTAAAAAAGAAAGTGAAAATTTTGTTCGAAGGTGAGTGAAAGTCAGGGAATTAGAAAATTTTTGAGTCCGGGGAAAGCGAAAATAAGCAAAGATTGTCAGGGAATTTGAAGATGCAGATCTTATGACAACCCCGGGAATGGAGTGTCTGCGTTTTATCTCCACCTGCGGGCCGATTATTGAAACTGATAGACAAAGCTATAGACAAAGACGACAAAAGGGATTTGGAGGGATCCTATTGGTGGAAGCGGGTGGTGGCAATGGACATAGGAGGTAGGTTATGGACTGACTAACGGCAACCCACCAAAGACCCGACAGTTAGTCCATCATTTTCTTCTTTAGTCTATAGGAATCAACCGTGTCAACCAATAAGATCGCTTCATACTTCCTATGTCTTCTTTGTCTATCGCTTTGTCTATCAGTTTCAATAATCGGCCCGCTGGTAGTGTGCGAATCAACTGAAAATTCCCACCTTTACGAGGAAGAACGGACAGGTTACAGAGATCCGCGCCCTTTCGATACCCTCTGGCCTTCCACCGTTACGAGTAGGTACTAAAACTCGATCGGTTTCAAATTCCCCTCCGTTTCATCCTGAAGGTCTGGCACTTGAGAAGGAAACGAAAGTCAAATAAAAGTCTTGATAATGTGCACGTCGCTATGTTTGTGCTTCCAGTTAAGTTGTCGGAAATATCGTGCTTACTCTCATGCCTTTACGTCATAGATTTAACGTTGCTTCCCCCTCAACTTGGGCCGATTGAATTTCAGGGCTCTGTGACGTCACTTGCATCACTAAAATACTTAGTTTTCCAGACGAAGGATCGTAAATCCCTTCCAAGGTCGCAAAATTGCCTCAAACAATTCAACTATTTACGATAATATCACAGAGCCATTTTCTTGCAGTTGCTTTCTAATTTTTCCATGAGACCAGGAGAAAAATCTGAGATATTTTCAGTGAGAAATTCCCGAGATTTTCGTGGCAAAAATGCAGTTTCCGAGCGGAAATTTGACATCATTGAAATGCATTTACGTCCTTTTGCGAAGGAAACGACGAATTAAGCTGTTGGGCCATCGTGCGAGCGCCCAAAGAAGCCGTGTGGTGGCGTAATCCCCGCATTTTATGTCAGGTGCCGCTCGTGAACCGTTAATTTGGTCGGGTAAAAGCCTTTAAAGGCCATCTTTGATAAGACCTGAGAATCATGAGGAAGCTTATTTTCCAGGGTCCATTAGATAATTGACATGTGCGGTTTTAACATTCACCGATTAAAATGGTATAGACGCTCGCAAAATCAACCGAATTTCCTCCCCCATCTTACGGCTCGGAGGAAGATTTACAGTTGGACTACATTTTGCAATTAGGAACTATAAATACCAGCCCGGTTTAAAAACAACGTATGTGCCATTAGTGTCCCTATGCACATAAGTGTTTTTTCAAGTGGGACAGAATTTATAGCTCCAAATTGCAAAATGCAGTCCAGTTTATAATCGCAACTATATCTCAGTGGCGTGGCGTGCTTCGATATATATCGTATTTCTCCATTTGAAGCTATGGTAAAAAATCGATTATTGAGGTGTCCGTTGCGAACACCCTGATAATCGATCCTTTTCCACAGGTTTAATTGGCCGCAGATCCATCGATTTATCGGAAAGCTCGCCACGCCACTGGTGTATCGTTGGTGAAAATGCAGAAATGTGTATGTCAACATGTGAGTAAAATTTTTGACTTTATTGGCTGAGTATCGTGTCAGCACTCACCCAGCGCCTGAAAGATAACATAAAACTATTATGATAGTATTTATTCACTTCCGCAAGTTTCGGTTAATTTTTTCAGCATTCCCACATTTTACTGTTGAATTTTATTCGTATACATTTCAAAAAAAGATGAATGGAAAAGAAACCGCCGATGTGCGCAGAACGAATGTGTATAAAATAAAATCAACCCGAAATAGATGTTTTTCGATTTTCCTTGTTTCCTGCTCACAAAATGAAATTGAACGGGAGCTCAGAAAGTAAATTTTGCACGTTTAACACTGTGCGGTCTCGTCTAATTACGCCTGCATAGTTTAATTTTCGACGGTAGGCACGAAAAAAAATCACGTGTTGAACGCCGAGCAGTGCCATTTAATTATTGAACAAATGAATTTTTAGAGTTGAGCACCAAATACGTAACATGTGTGCCAGCTTGAAAAGTAATTCACTTAAATGTTGCTTTGCCGACCGAGGAGTAAAGCAGAAGAATCACGCACAATGCCGGTCCTTGCAAAACTAGTTACCAACAGCGGAATCTGAGGTCGGTTCGCTCAGTAGTGTAAGCGATACCGTGCGCCCCTTCATTATTGCAAGGTATGCAACATGCGCTCCTACGAGTCAAAATAGTGGTATTGTATCCAGGCGCTAGCATCAGAAGCCATCATTGATGTGTGCAGTCGTGTTAGCGGTGCTGTTCACTAGCTTTCTGATTTTCAGTCTTTTTTTTGTTTTTATTTTGAAGTGAAATAAATCTAGATGCTTAATTTTCTTCTTCATTTACCGTCAATAATTCCTTGATAATCTACTATCTGATTAATTGACCTTATCTTGGATTTTATACTAAAAACCGGGGATTTTTTCTTCCTCTGCTCCGAAATCAAATTAATCCTGATTTTTGCAAAATTGACTTCAACGAATCGGATGTATGATGAATAAGTTAATTTTTACCACATACTCAGGAGAAAATCTTTTTATTTTTAAAAATCCATAGGAAAAAAAATGGGAATCCTGAGTTTTCATCAAGAATTTTTACCTGGATAATCAGGAAAAATAAGAAAAAAATCAGGGGATTGTCAGGTTTTGGAGAAAATCAAGAATTCTAGACACCATGCTGTGAGGGCTACCATATTTCAATCGAAATTTCATTTTACATGCGTGCGTGTACGGTCGTGCAGCGCGGCGCGACGAACGGAATATGATAATATGCCTTGGTGAACTGGTAATTTAATTACCGCTGCCAAGTGCAATTACATTTTATGGGGGAGAGCATCACCGGGAGGATTTCGCAGCCGACGCCTCCCCCTCTGCGCCCCCCACATCGGCCCCGCCCCCCTGCGCCGTTTTTGACCGCGCCACCTCGCGTCCATAATTTCAACGGCCGTTAAAAACCTCCGATACGGACACGATACTCCGACGGCTTTTGCAGATGCTCCAGCGTCTGGGTCATTGTTAAATCGTCAATGAGTTAATATCAAAAGACTCCGATCGATGAATATGAATAGCATTGAGAAGATAGGGATGAGTATTTGATTAAAAAGAAGAAAGAAAAAGAGGGGAAAATGTAGTAGTAGTAGTAGTACAGGGTTCCCAGCGATCTTGAAAACCTGGAAAACCTGGAAAAGTCAGGGGGAAAAAAATGGCCTGGAAAACATGGAAAAGTCAGGGAATTTGCTCCAAAAGTCTGGAATTTTTTCAAGTACTGAGAAAAAAAATTTAATAAGTAAACAAATAAAAATAAAAGAATTGTGTGTGTGTTACTACCAAACCAGTACATATTTTGTCGGCGTTTAGCCGAGGGTAAAACCCTCGTTTCCACCGTCCACCACGAGGAGGAACCGACATCAGACGGCACGCTTCCACCGTCCAACTTACAACTCCCATGGCATACGTTAATTTGAAATTCAAAATTTTGAAGAAATTTTGAAAAAATGGAGATGAAATTTTGAAAAATGGAGAAGAAATTTTGAAAAATGGAGAAGAAATTTAAAAGACAAAGGCATGGGGCTCATGCCTTTGTTGTTAGTGAGATTTAATAAGGATAACCTTATTTTTAAATTTTTTTTAAATTTAGTAATTATTGAAGATCTCATGCCATGAAGAGTTGGGTTGGCGTTCTGGGCGCACCCTCACTCACAACAGTGAACAATTCGCCAATGACCGAATGCAGGGAACTCCTCTACCACCGTGCGATCCAGCAGTGAGACAACAAACTCGTAGCTGGATAC